GCCAATGCTTTATATCAGACTGTGTATTCTTTGCAGCCTCATGGAGTGTGGTCTGGCAGGCTCCTCTGTCCATGGGATTTTCCAGGCAAGAATACTGGAGTGGGTTACCATTCCCTACTCCAGGGGGTCTTCCTGACCCAGGGATCAAACCTGCATCTCTTGTGTCTCCTGCATTGGCAGGCAGATTCTTTACCACTAGTGCCACCTGAGACTACATAGTTTAATGTCATCATTATCTTTTTACTGATGTGGAGACTGAAGTTTAAATATAAATTTAAGCTAAATTACAATATTATACATATAAATTATCAATATAATTGCATATATTAATATATAATAAATATATAATATATATTCTTAGATAAATATATTACTTAAAAGATAAAGTTTTTGATTCTTTAAGTGGGAATCTCTGAGAACTTTTCCAAGGGTCTGTGGGATCAAAAATATTTTTACAGTAATATTTAGACACTTTTTGCCTTTTTCACTCTCAGTTAGTGGAGTTTCCCAGAAGCATCATGACATATGATAGTGCAACACATAGAATGCAGAAGACAATATGACATTTAGCTGTTTTCTCTGTTAAGCCAAACATTTAGACATTTTTCAAAAGTAAAGTATAGCTACTGTTTTCACTGTTTTTTGTCTTGTAAAAGATATTTTTTTCATAAAAATACAGTATATTAACATATAGTGAAAATAGTTCTATATGAATTAAAAGTAAATATTTAACAAATTCTCAGTTTCTATTATGACATATATCAACAAAGATAGCCACATAAATGTTTGTATCAGTAATTTTTTAAAAGTTCAAAGGGGTCCCAACCAAAAAGTCTGATGCCCAAACTTTTTGATGCCCAATCAAAAAGACTGAACTAAATGATCGATTAGCAATGGCCAGAATTGGAAAGTAAAGAATTTTATCTGATACCAAAATGTTTTTGTTTTCTCTTCCTGCTGCAACAAATTAACACAAGTTTAATGGCTTATAATAACATACCTACTGTCTCACAGTTTCCATTGGTCAGCCATCCTGGCCCTGGTCAGCTGGATTCTCTGCACAGCTGAAATCAAGGGTGTGGCAGATCTGGAATCCTCATGTGAGGTCCTTGCATGAGGTGAGATTCATCTTCACACCAGATCTCCCTGACTTCCTCCACTGCTGCAAGTTGTAAAAACTCCCTGCTGTTAGAAGTGAAGTGAAAATCGCTCAGTCTTGTCAGTCTCTGTGACCCCAGGGACTATACAATCCATGGAATTCTCCAGGCCAGAATACTGGAGTGCGTAGCCTTTTCCTTCTCCAGAGGATCTTCTCAACCAAGGGATCAAACCCAGGTCTCCTGCATTGCAGGTATTCTTTACCAACTGAGCTATGAGGGTTAGAAGGCTCACCTGATTGGGTCAGTTCAGTTCAGTTCAGTTGCTCAGTCATGTCCAACTCTTTGCAACCCCATGGACTGCAGCACACCAAGCTTCCCTGTCCATCACCAACTCCCGGAGCCTACTCAAACTCATGCCCATTGAGTTGGTGATGCCATCCAACCATCTCATCCTCTGTCATCCCCTTCTCCTCCTGCCTTTAATCTTTTAAGCCAACTTTTTCACTCTCCTCTTTCACTTTTATCAAAAGACTTTTTAGTTCTTCTTCACTTTCTGCCATAAGTTCTTCTTTGCTTTCTGCTTGATTGGGTCAGGCCCCAAGATAACCTCCATTTTTTGTTGCTTAGTCACTAAGTTGTATGTGACTATCAGTGATAAAAGATAACCTCCATACTTCATATCAATCAATTTGTAAAATCCCTTCATGGCAGTACCCAGATTAGTGCTTGATTGTTAATTAAGGAAAACCAGATATCTCAAGGAATTTAGTGCTTTTCTGTGTATGGGAAGGTGCAAGCTGGGCTTATTGAAATCATTTCTTTCATATGCACCTAATCTATCTGGGGCCTCTACCCTGTTTTCACATCCTGAGCTTCCTTTCCTCGGGGCTCACTGTAGGGAGTGGCTACAGTATGATTGTTGTTATAAAGCAGGTGTTGTTCTTTCTTTTGGGTTTCCTTCCCATGCTCAGAAACTCACATTTGGAAGCCCAAAATTGCTGATGGCTGTGGCATTCTTGTTTACCAGTATGGCAGGAAATATTTCATTTCACAATGCCAAACATTTGAAGGAGTGAGTGTAGGATAAGAGTAACCTCAAAGGAACATGCATATCCTATAAAGTCATGATGTACATTTTTATATTTTTGTACTATTTTGACTACTTGTTCCCCTTTGAGCTTATAATAACTTCATGCAAAATTATTTGGCATAGAATTGAACTGATGATTAGCTAAATAAAGTTTTTCTTCAGGCCAGCCATTTTCCATTGGTATTAGATTCTGAGGTAGCTTTAACCTAATCTCCCAATGCATTTGATCATCAGTATCAATATCAGCATAGACTTATTTATATAATGTGGTCGAATCTTTGCGATTTCCCTGGTGACTCAGTTGGCAAAGAATCTTCCTGCAGTGCAGGAGACCCAGGTTAGATCCCTGGGTGGAGAAGATCCCCTGGAGAAGGAAATAGTGACCCACTCCAGTGTTCTTGCTTGAAAAATCCCATGGACAGAGGAGCCTGGTGGACTACAGTCCATGGGGTCACAAAGAGTCAGACATGTCTGAGTATCTGAGCATATATATATATATGAATCTTAGTAACCAGCCAATGTTAAGCCATATTACTGTCATGGTACAATTCAGTTTTCATTTCAGAACCCATCAGTAAGAATCAGAGGTCTTTGTCTCTCCAACAGATCTGGCATTTGTCTATATACCAGATTAATATTGTGGACAGATGTCATTACATTCTGGGTTCCAAATCAGTAGGGGATAAAGCCAGTTACCCTGTCTCAGTTTAGAGGCTTGTATTAAAGCTAGCTTTTTTTGTGGACTATTATATAGTGGGGCCTGCTTCTCTGCCTGCCCCACCATGAGGAGGAGGACTATTCAGACTAACTGTACTACAGGGATGTCTTCTGATATATTCTTCAGAGATGAGAGGGCACTCATTATGTTCCAATGAAAATTACAAATGCTGCCATAGAAACTATGTTCCAAGGTCTATAAGATTGCCATAAATATGTTCCTTTGGCTTCAGCAGCTAGAATAGAGAGGCTTTGTCTCATGGTTACTTTCGTCTCCATCTGGATCAAAACAGTCAAGAGGTCTTGAGTAAGGACTGAGTGCTAGCAGTATCCAGCTTTATTTGCTGAGTCTGTCCGATCCATTTCACTGAAGTCTCATTCTATTTCTAGGCTGACTCTTATCCCTTGCTTTTTCCTAGAAGAGAATTACCTCTGATTGTCTCATTTTAGCTAAAAAATTATTTTTCTCCACTGGCTGTCACACCTCATTAGAAGTGAGTCCGGCTTGTTCAGTGATGCCTAGATGGCCACGTTTCTCTTTTAAAGCCATTCTTTGGTTTTGTGGGACAAGCCACCATGCTTGCGGCTCTCACTGTGTACTAATAACATGAGTGCAGTTACGAGTATGCTTTGTTACCCCAAAATACTGGGTCCTCCATATAGTGCTTGCTAGGTGTAGCCTACCTATATGTAATTTAGTCTGAGCATGCCATAAGGCCTTCTAAAATCTTTCTCCTTTCAGGGTGGGGCTATCTCCCAAGAAACTCATACTTGCCACACAAAGTCTATAATTTATTCCTGTCAGAAACCCATTGTCTCTCCTCTTCTGTTCTAACAGCTTTCCATCCACAATAGTGGACGTGATGAGTATCTGTGCATAGCACACCGTGGTCTGCTAGGAATGACACTGATATACTTTGTCCACTATAACCAAGGACCTTTCTAAGCATTTGATCATCAAGGTTTATAGCTAACACAGTGATCCATCAGCTGAAAATTGTATTACATGGTCTAATGGCCACACGGAGAATGGTTCCCAGAAACTTTCTTCCCAGTGAAATCTTTTCTAGTAGAAGCAACCTGAAGAATGAGAATCAAAAGTTACTGCTACACAACTAGAGTTCCATTCAGTCACCAACATTGGATCCAGTTTATCATCATATCACAAGACCAACATCTTATCTCAAATCATAAGACCAGCCAGTACAAAGACACTCAGGATTGCATGCTTCCATTTGACCTTGTTAAATTCCATAAGTAGGGTTGGATTTGTCAAACATATGACTTCCCATTTTTGTGCATCTGGCATAATTGTGTTAAGAGACAGCATCACCCTCCAGCTGTGAGCCTCTCTTTTAAAAAGCATACGACCTAAAAGGTGCAAGTTCTGTTTTATGTGGGGACATTTCTGAGGACTATGGCCTCAGGGAGGCAGCCTAACAGACAACTCCAAAAATGTTGTCATCAACGACCCATAAGCTCCACAGCTGGTGGTACACCCTGAGGGGAATTCAGGATGGAGAAAAATAAGACACTGGCTCTAGATCGTTAAGACGCAAAACAAAGTGAGTGACTGAAAGTTGCTCAGTCGTGTCTGACTCTTTGCGACCCCACGGACTCTATAGTCCATGGAATTCTCCAGGCCAGAGTACTGGAGAGGATAGGCTTTCCCTTCTCCAGGGGATCTTCCCAACCCAGGGATCAAACCCAGGTCTCCCACACTGCAGGCAGATTTACAAGCTGAGCCACAAGGGAAGTCCAGTTAGGTCTGTAATATGCTATAATATTGCAGCATTACAGCTAAAGACAATAAATGCCCCTACCATATTTCAGGGGCTTAACAGGTGGCCCTAGTGGCAAAGAACCCACCTGCCCACTGCAGGAGACATAAGAGACTCGGGTTTGATCCTTGAATTGGGGAGATCCCCTGGAGGAAGTCATTGCAACCCATTCCAGTATTCTTGCCTGGAGAATCCCATGGACAGAGGATCCATAGGGTTGCACAGAGTCAGACACAACTGAACAACTTAGCATACATTCACCATATTTCAGAGGGAACAAAGTTCCTCCTCCATGTTGTCCTTTGGTATTTGTCACATTAGCCTGTCCTTCCACAGCACTCTCCTCAGGGCACCCTTGACCTCTTTGTTCCTCAGGCTGTAGATCAGCGGGTTCAGCATGGGGTTGAAAAGACTGTAAAACAGGGAAAGGATCTTCTGCTGCTCCTCAGGGTGGCGGGACTTGGGGGCCATGTACATGACGATGGCACTGCCAAAGAAGAGCCCGACCACGCAGAGGTGGGAGAAGCAGGTGGAGAAGGCCTTTCCGCGGCCCTCACCTGACCGGGTCCTCAGGATGGCGGCCAGGATGCGTGTGTAGGAGAGCAGCACCAGGCCGAGGGGCCCGACCAAGACCAACACGGAAGCAGCAAAGATGACCGCTTGGTTGAGCCTGGTGTCAGCACAGGCCAGCTTGAGGACAGACAGGATTTCACAGAAGAAGTGGTTGATTTCGTGAGGCCCACAGAAGGGCAGTCTCAGAAAGAGGACTAAGTGGATCAGAGCCAAGAGGAAGCTTAAGACCCAGGATGCGATGGCCGAGACAGAGCACACTCTCCAGCTCATGATGAAAGTGTAATGCAGGGGGTGGCAGATGGCCACGTACCGGTCATAGGACATCACCACCAAAATCAGGCACTCTGTGTGAGCAAAAGCCAGATATAGAAATGTCTGCATAATGCAGGGAACAAAGGACATGGTTCTTTTCTGACTCACAAGATTTGCCAGCATCTTGGGAACACTGTTGGAGGCATAGGATATGTCGATGATGGCCAGCTGTGAGAGGAAGAAGTACATGGGGGTGTGAAGTCTTGAGTCTAAGCAGATAAGCCCCAGGATGACTCCATTCCCCAGAAGCGTAAGGGTGTAGAAGAGAGAGAAAAGACCAAAGAGGAAAAACTCCAGTGCTGAATCGACCTGGAATCCCAGGAGGGTGACTTCTGTGATCCATGTCTGGTTGCCTCCCATGCTCCTGGGTAGAGACAGAGAAGCCCCCCTCTGGGACAGGAAGGTCAGAGCTGCAGGGAAATCAAGACACAAAATGCCTTCTGAGTGTAACCAAGTGAGCATTTGGAAATGTATTACTTTGGATGGATTTCCTACAATTTATTGTTAGATATATTGTTAAAACTAATTCTGCATGCTCATATTTATCAGAAAAAGTTATCCTTGTACCAAGGAAATAATAGCATATATATCTATGTAACATTTATTATAGATAATAAAATGTAATAGGATCCATGATTATATACTCTACCTAACACAATGCACATTCGCATGCACACCTACAAAGTTTGGGAGAATTCAAGTTTTCTGGCTTCCCTTCAAGGCTATGAGTCTTGATTATTAATGCAGGTAGAAGACAGAGAATCCTGACAAACCATCTCTAAAAAGAGATAATTTTATTTTCTAGGCTTGCTTGTCTTCTTGGTCCAAGATATGAAGCTATTAGGGTCCTCTGTTATTTATATGTTGCTTTTGTTTACATATCCCTTTATCTTCTCACTTGCTTTTCTATCCACTAGTTTCAGATTTGAAGTCCTTAAAAATATTTGATAACTTCTTAAAGCAAATTGTTCCTTTGCACAGAAATAAGTAATGGCAAAATCCTGAGCAAAAAGGATTTGTTGAATCCTAGGAACAGGAAAGAAAAAAAAAAAGTCCAATGTTCCTGAACCATAGTGACAAAGAGGTTGTAAATATTCATTGTTATTTTAAACAATTTGGAACTAACACAAAATGTGTAAGTTGGAATGGATTTAAATATTTGGTTATTTCTATAACAGAATATTATATAGCCATTTAAAATGATAATATAGAATTTTATATGGTGATGAAAAATTTTCCACATAAAGTCAAAACATGTGTACATGATTTGATTCATATTTCAAAGTTTAACATATCTATACAAAAATGTCTTTGGGGTCTATTTGTATATATTCAGGAAAACTCTGTAATTTAAACATGAAACTCTTTACATTGATTATCTCTAGAGAGTAGGATTATACAGGAACTTACCTTTTGAACTTATACGGTTACTGTTCATTTTTTTAATAAATGTGCTCTACCAAAAAAAGACATTTAAAAAATCTACTGTGTAATATAGAAGCAAAGTTGCACATTTTTCTTATTTGAGAGTAGTACTCAGGAAGTTGTAACAGGAATGTCAAATCTGAGCAGATTCTTAGAGTTTCAAATGCGGGAAATGAGTCACCATGTTATGTTAACTTAAAAACAGTTAACATACGACAGGAAAGAGGAAATTGAAAATTTCAAACTCATTTTTGTTTTCTGAGATATCTTTTCTGAATTGTCCTGATAAATATCATGATCTTCCATCGAGTCAAAGTAGAAAAAGATTTCAAATCAAGGTGAAAATTACTGCAACATCCACCTAAATGTGAAGGGGAGCACAAGAAAAGAAATATTTTGAAATTGCACAGGAGAAAAATATTGACATAATTGATCATTGCCATGAAACTGCAAATTCCAGAGACATTTGCCGTCTGCCTGTGAGTTTTGTGTCTCATCCCACATGGATCTGGTGTTTCTTTTAGAAGGAGGTGGTCTATTACATTAATTCCCAAGTCTAGGGTCTATACTTTACTGGATCTCCAAAGAAATGGTAGCAAATTATGGTCAGTAAGTATCTCACTAAGTCACTCAAATGTTATTAACTAATTTTTAGCTGATATATTTTTAGCTTTTAAAATTCATGCAAACAGAGCACAGTTAAAAGATATATATCAAACTTCTAATTAGCAGATACAAAATGGGAAACTGTCTAATTTTCTGGATGATGCAAATTTAATGACAAAATGGAATTTGCCACTTTAAGGACATATCAAATATTATGTTAATAGGTCTAATGACTCAGGCTAAATAGGAAGGCTCTTAATACCTGAGACTTTCAGAATTATGGATATTTTGTAAATTTTTAAGACTCTTTTTGAGTAAGCAGTTTCTGTCATCAAGGAAAGCAAGGAACAAAAGCAGTAACAGAAAATTATATAATGAACTTCAGAAAAAGTTTCATATGCTTGTGTTTACTGTGGCCCTGATGCAAAGAACTGATTCATTGGAAAAGACCCAGATGCTGTGAAAGACTGACGGCAGGGGAAGAAGACAGGGTGACAGGATGAGATGGTGGGATGGCCTCACGGACTCAATGGACATGCGTCTGTGCAAGCTCCAGGAGATGGCGAAGGACAGGGAAGCCTGGCGCACTGCAGTGCGTGGGGTTGCAAAGAGTCCTACATGATTTAACAGCAAGAGCTAATCACAGCACAGAAAACTGGAAAAACTAAATTTCTTTCCAAAGAGAATGCTTAAAGGAGTCATGGGCGATCTCCAGAAAGGGAAGGTAGGTGAGAGCTTGAAGAGGAAGGAAGAGCAGGCTGAGTCAGGGCCTGGGATGGATCCTGCGGGAGCAACCAGGCAGAGCCCAGTGGGCTCAGCTTTGATGTGATGTCTGGGTTCCTGCTGCACCTAAAAGGGGCCTTGGGAAGCAGGCACAGGGATGCTTCAGTATCAATCATGCAAGTCATTAGCCTTCTTTCCCCAAATGATTAGAATTGTTTGAGTTCATAATTCAAATAGTCTGCAGTTATAGAGTTTTACATATAATATTTTGGTAAAATATTTTTGAATGAAACCAGTAGCCTAGAAAAAAAAATTATTTTCAAAAGTCAGCAATAATTAAGAAGGCAAAAATTTCTTAGTGGAAATATTTCCTTCATCAGGTATGAACTCCAGACAAACCATGTGTAACACTGGGTGTCAACTGCACTCTTTACACTTTTGTAGAAAGGTCGTGAGGAGACAGCCCTACAGTGGTGGCTGTCTGCTCAAACTATTAATGATCAGCACCTTTGTGAGAACAAGATAGAAAAAATAGAATAAAGAAAGCAATTTTCTCCCCTCTAAATATGCAATGATTTCTTGCATTTTTAAAATGTTAGTTCAACAAGTCAGATTTTTTTTCCTCCTGTGGCAGATAAAGACACACCTGAAATGAAGATGCCTTTAAGTGTCCACCCTGCTGCACCGTAAGGCAAGTGAGCTATCCTGCACAGAAGGACGGAAAACTTTTCATGGATACATCACTCTGTTCTCCCACAGCAGGAAAATCAGCAGGGACTGAAAAGACCAGTGTCCCTAAATAAGGATGAAGAGAGACCATCCTTCCCATCTCCACTCTGCAGGGGAACCAGGTGACCTTGAGTCACTGATTCTCAGCCTCATTGTTTTCATCTGAAAGCTGGTGAGAGCAGGGTCTAAAGGGCTGATGTGAAGAATAAATATTGTCAACTGGTACACAGAAGGATTTTACCAGATGTGAGCTGATATTAATAGTATTAAAGACAGCACAAAATTCAAGGAGAACTAAAGTTATTGGGATTGATAATTAATAATATCAATCATGATTTTGTAAAGTCCTCCACACTTGCTTTCCTTTTTGGTTATGTTTAAGTAAGAAAACACATGATTTTAATTTCATTTGTATTGATGTTTTATATGCTGACATTTAAGTTAAAAAGGATTTTAAAGAAATAGAAGAATCTTTAAAGTAACCTCACTCTTGGAATGGAGAAGGCAATGGCAACCCACTCCAGTAGTCTTGGCTGGACAATCCCATGGACAGAGAAGCCTGGTAGGCTGCAGTCCATGGGGTCGCGAAGAGTCAGACGTGACTGAGCGACTTCACTTTCACTTTTCACTTTCATGCATTAGAGAAGGAAATAGCAACCCACTCCAGTGTTCTCGCCTGGAGAATCCCAGGGATGGCGGAGCCTGATGGGCTGCCATCTATGGGGTCACACAGAGTCAGACACGACTGAAGCAACTTAGCAGCAACAGCAGCACTCTTGGAATGAAAGAGAAAATACAGATTTTAAAACTCAAAATGCAGCTCAGCTATACCAAACATACCAATGTGAGAAAGAGAGTAAACCTTATGAAATGAAAGGAGGCCATATTTAGAATATTTTGCATTGACCCGGAGTAAAAGTTTTTATTGATTACTCTCTCAGAGTGAGTGACCTGGGGCTGACAAAGTCAAAGCTTTGAGGCAGGACAGATTATGCAGCTTCTGACTTACTCAGGAATTACTTACCAGAATTACCAGTAATTCAGAAATTACTCTGAATTAGTTACTTCACCACTCAGCTTGATCCTCATGAGTAGCATAATGTAAAAAACAAACTTGGATTCTTGGCCTGACTATCTGGGACTTACTCAAAACATTGGCAGGCAAATCTTGTACCCCTCTGTATCTCTCCATTCCTCAATTCCCCCATCTCATAGGAGAGTTGAAAATTTAAGTGAGTCAACTCAAACAAGACACTTAATAAGAGTTTAAATATATATTATGAGAGATTTGAAAGCCATTATTGGAGAGTGACTTTTGGATCCAGTCATCATAATGAAACATTAATATCCTACTAAAGTAAGGAACAGAGAGTGTGTACAGCAACAGATCCTGGGTTTTTCCAGTAAGAAATGTCATCTCTTGCCTGAATACATGAGAAATGGGACCTGTTTGGCCAGAAAATCTTTTTGAAAATCCACAAGGGCAGGCAGTCAACACATGGGAAAGGAAAATCAAGCTCCTGGCAAGCAAACCACTTACCTCTGTCTTCAGGACTGTTTTATTTGTAGAAAAGGCATTTGAGTCACATGTCTGTGAAGTTCATTGTAGCCTTTGACCCAGATCGCGTACTACATGGATGATTAGCTGATTCCTCTTCTGACACAGTCATGAGGAAAGCCAGGAGACACCACAGCAGGACGGTGAAGAGGCCACAGACATGGGTCTTGGAGACCAGGGGAGTCAAGGCCACACCATGGGGAGAGGTAGGGGTCCTTAGAAATGCCCAGAGGATCTTGCAAAGAAAGGCTTAGGGTACAGATAAGGCATTCAGACTCTTATACCTGGATCAGTCATTTCATTCCTCCTTCTTTCTCATTTCCACCTGAAAACCCTTCCCATGACTAATGAACTCTCTAGTCTAGAACTCTCTAGAACTCAGAAGTGGAATCTATGTTCTCCTCTTCAGTATGGCCTTGGAGGACTAGGGTAGATTCTCCTCCACAGGGACCTCATCAGGAGATGAAGCCCAGACACACAGCTCTCAGTAGAGAAGTTTATGATAGACTTGCTTCTGCAAGTCAGGGCTTTTACCTTCATTTGAATCCAACCTTCTTCCTGCAGACATAAATCACGATCAGGGTATAGAGCTGTGTATATCACTTCTACTGATCCTCTCCCTAGAGATTTTAGTGTTTGTTGTCTTCCTATCTGCAGATGAGCCAAGGAATGCATTTCCCATGTTTGTTCATTAAGTTCTTGCAGGATACCATGGGAATTGTTGGGTCCAATTGCTTGGGATTTGTGTGTGTTTGTTTTGGGATTGGATGAGTCAAGATGTCTCTGAACTATATAACACTCTGTCAAAGAAACTAGAAGATTTAATTTCATGTTCTAAATTAATTTCTTTCAATTCCACCACTCTAATGGCAAAAAGTGAAGAGGAACTAAAGAGGCTCTTGATGAAGGTGAAAGAAGAGAATGAAAAAGCTGGCTTAAAACTCAACATTCAAAAAATTAAGATCATGGCATCCTGTCCCATCACTTCATGGTAAATAGAATGGGGAAAAAGTGGAAATAGTGACAGATTTTATTTTCTTGGGCTCCAAAGTAACTGTGGACAGTGGCTGTAGCCACAAAATTAAAAGACGGTTGCTCCTTGAAAGAAAAGTTATGTCAAACCTAGACAGCATGTTAAAAAGCAGAGACATCACTTTGCTGGCAAAGGTCCATATAGTCAAAGCTCTGGTTTTACAGTAGTCATAGATGGATGTGAGAGTTGGACCATAAAGCAGGCTGAGCACCAGAGAATTGATGCTTTTGAATTGTGGTGCCAGAGAAGACTCTTGAGAGTCCCTTGGATAGCAAGGAGTTCAAACCAATCAATCCTAAAGGAAATCATCCCTCAATATTCATTGGAAGGACTGATGCTGAAGCTTAAGCTCCAATATTTTGGACAGCTGATTCATAGAGCTGACTCTGGAAAAGATCCTGATGCTGGGAAAGACTGAAGGCAAAAGGAGAAAAAGGTGGAAGAAGATAAGATCGTTACATAGCATCATTGACTTAATGAACATGAATTTGAACAAACTCTGGGAGGCAGTGAAGGACAGGGTAGCCTAGTGAGCTTTGGTCCTTGGTGTCCCGAAGAGTTGGTCAGGATTTAGTGACTGAACAGCAGCAACAACACAGGTATACGTATAACTGAATCACCTTGCTGCACCCCTGAAGCTAACACAACATTGTTAATCAACTATACTCCATGGGTAAACCTATGACTGATTCATGTTGATCTTTGGTAGAAACCCACACAATACTGTAAAGCAATTATCCTTTAATTAAAAGTAAATAAATTTAAAAAAACTACACTCCAATATAAGATATTAAAAAAATAAATGTAGGAGACAAAGGGTGTGCTTACACTTTTCTGGTGATGCTTATTGGTCAGTTAATCAACAAAGATTTCCTGAGGGCCTTGTCTGAGCTTAGTTTTGCTCTAGATATGATGAACACAGCAATGAGGAAGGCAAAGTTAATGCTTACAGTGATCTTTCATGTTAAAAATAGTAACTTTACAGGGAGGATAGCCTTAGTTAATGAATAAAGCTATGGAAAAAAGACACAATGGACTGAGAGTGAAAGTTGTTCAGTTGTGTCTGACTCTTTGCAATCCCATGGACTGGAGCCTACTAGGCTCCTTTATCCACAGAATTCTCCAGGCAAGAAGAACACTGGAGTAAGGAGGCGTTCCCTTCTCCAGGGGATGTTCCTGACCCAGGGGTTGAACCGGGGTCTCCTCCATTGCAGGTGGATTCTTTACCAGCTGAGCTAACATGGTAGAAAATTACCTAGTCAAGACAAGTGAGGCTCTGAAATACACCGGTTTTTGAGGAGGTGATGTGTATGACAAAAACTACTGTAATGATGTAAAGTAATTAGCCTCCAACTAATAAAAATAAATGAAAAAAAAAAAAAAAGGACATTGAGACAGAAAAAAAAAAACAAAAAAACACTGAGACCGAGTTTCTTCATGCATGATTGAGTATCTGCATGGTTATTCAGTTGTGCCAGGGCTGTTTTCTGCAACACCCCTTCCTTCCCCCAGTGATCTACCATGCCACACCTTTCATACAGCCATATTCTAATCATAGACATCAGCATCTGTGCCTTATACTCTATTCAGTTTGTTTGTTGGTCAACCCGAGGAGGAAGACTGCGCTATTTTACTTATTAGCACTCTGTAGCAGATATTGTTATCTGGAGAATCAATTCCTCTCACCTTATGCTTAATATTTTTTAAATGTGTTTGGACTAGCGATGGCAGCATGTATATTAGAATCAGCTTGTCAGATTCTAAAGTGTTCTGCTCATACTCACACGTTCCACTGGGATATTGTAAGATACTAACTTTAAATATGTTAATCAGCTTGAGGAGATTGAATCATTTAAATATTATGCTTCTCAACCTGGAAACTTGGCATATCTCACATTTTATATCTGTTTAGTTATCACAGTGCCTCAATAAATTTTTCTAATTGTCTCTTTATAGATTTAGTACTCAGATGGTAAAGAATCCACCTGCAATGAGGGATACCTGGGTTTAATCCCTGGGTTGGGAAGATCCCCTGGAGTAGGGCATGGCAACCCACTCCAGTACTCTTGCCTGGAGAATCCCATGGACAGAGGAGCCTGGTGGGCTACAGTCCACAGGGTTGCAAAGAGTTGGACATGACTGAGTGACTAACACACACTCTTAGATATATTCCTAAGCATTTTAAAATTAATTCCTGCTTTTAATGGTAGTGTTTCAGAAAAAATTCATTTTAATTATTTGTTATATAAATATATAATAGATGTTTATATTGATTTTGTATCAAGTTATCTTGTTTAAATTTCTCATAAATTCACTAATATACAAAAAGATTCATTTGGATCGCCTACAAATGCCATCACACTATTTGCATATGATCATAATTCATTTGGGCTTCCCTGGTGGCTCAGTGGTAAACAACCCGCTTGTCAATGCAGGAGATCCGGTTCAATCACTGGGTCAAGAAGACCCTCTGGAGAAGGAAATGACAATCCACTCCAGTATTCTTTCCTGGGAAATCCCATGGACAGAGGAAGCTGGAGGGCTATAGTCATGAGGTCACAAAAGAGTTAGACATAACTTAGCCACACAACAAAAACAGTGTAATTTATTTATTCCTTCTCATGTGGGTGTCTCACATGACAGACACCCACATACATATACATCTCTTCTTTTTTTTTAACTGTACATGTTAATATCTCTAATAAAAATCTGAAAATAAGAAAAACAAGTGGTGATGGTGTACATCTTATTTTATTTATTTTTTATTTTATGGAGAAAGATACTAGCATTTTACCATTAAGTATAATGTCTGATACGTGAAATGTTCATGGTACTGGGGTTTTTTTGATAAATCTTTTTCCAGGAATGCTTATTGTTATGCTATGTTGTAAAGAGCTTTATCATGAACTGATGTTAAATTTTGTCAAATACTTGCTTTGATCTACTGACAATGGATACTTCAATTTGTTAATGGGCCAGTTTTTTCCTTCCTTTGAAAGTTACACATTTTTTGCATTTTAGAGATAAAAAGTTTATCACAATTTAGTATCTTTTTATTACTTGATTTACTAATACTTTAAGACATTTGCACCTGTGTTAAAGAATAGGATTAGATTATGATTTTCTTATTTATGATGTTTATTTCAGGTTTGCTATCAATGACTAAATATGAGTATTTGTTTTCTCAGTTTTTAAGAATCTCGAAGATACAGGGTGCTAATTGTTAAATTAATGGTTTCAAAAGAGCATTCTAAGGTCCAGAGTCATGAAGACAGGCTCACACAAGACACTCCAAACTATTCCTCACACTGACCTCTTCTTCCCTAGAATTTTTCTCAGGGCACCCTTCACCTCTGTGTTTCTCAGACTGTAGATTAAGGGATTCAGCATAGGGTTGAAAAGGCTGTAAAACAATGACAGAATCTTCCTTTGGTCCTGAGAATGGCTGGATTCGGGGGTCATGTACAAGATGATGGCACTGCCAAAGAAGAGCCCGACCACGCAGAGGTGGGAGGAGCAGGTGGAAAAGGCCTTTCTGCGGCCCTCACCTGACTGGATCCTCAGGATGGCGGCCAGGATGCGCGCGTAGGAGAGCAGCACCAGGCCGAGGGGCCCGACTAAAATGCAAACACAGGATGAAACGATGATAATTTGGTTCAACCAAGTATCGGCACAAGCCAGCTTGAGGACAGATAGGATTTCACAGAAGAAGTGGTTGATTTCATGAGGCCCACAGAAGGGCAGCCTCAGGATGAGAACTAGGTGGACAAGATCCCAGAGGAAGCTAAATGCCCAGGAAGCGCTGGCCAGGACAGAGCACACTCTCCAGCTCATGATGAAAGTGTAATGCAGGGGGTGGCAGATGGCCACGTACCTGTCATAGGACATCACCACCAAAATCAGGCACTCTGTGGCAGCAAAAGCCAGGTATAAAAATGTCTGCATGATGCAAGGAACAAAGGAGATGGTTCTTTTCTGACTCACAAGATTTGCCAGCATCTTGGGGACACTGTTGGAAGCATAGGATATGTCAATGATGGCCAAGTGTGAGAGGAAGAAGTACATGGGGGTGTGAAGTCTTGAGTCTAAGCAGATAAGCCCCAGGATGACTCCGTTCCCCAGAAGCGTAAGGGTGTAGAAGAGAGAGAAAAGACCAAAGAGGAAAAACTCCAGTGCTGAATCGACCTGAAATCCCAGGAGGGTGACCTCTGTGACCCATGTCTGGTTGCTTCCCATGCTCCTGGGTAGAGACAGAGAAGCCCAAGACTTCAACAGGAAGGTCAGAGCTGTAGGGAAATCGAGACACAAAATACCTTCTGAGTGTAACAAAGTGAGCATTTGGAAATGTATTACTTTGAGTGGGTTTTCTATAACTTATTTTTAGATATACTGTATACACAAACTTGGTGTGATCATACAAATCAGAAACAAATTTCTCTTGCATCAATGGATAATAAGATATGAAAATATATTATAGATAATAAAATATATGATAACATGATACATGCATTATTATATACTCTATGTAATAGTATTCATACAAATACAGACATGCACTGTTTTGTAAAATTCAAGTATCCTGGCTTCCCTTCAAAAGTGTGAGTGTTGATTATTAAAGTGCTTAGAAGAAAGACAACCCTGACAGGCCATATGTAGTGAGAGGTAGTTTCATTTCCTAATCTTGCTTGTCTTCTTGGTTCAAGAAATAAAGTGTTTATGGTACTTTGTTATTTACATGTTGCTTATTTTTCCACGTACCTTCTCATATGCTTTTCTATCCACTTATTTCAGATTTGAATTCCTTTATTAAATAACCTCTCAATTTTGTAGTCTTTCAAACTTGGCATAAGACTCCTCTCAACAGCAGACTAATATTCCATAGAAGCATCTTCTGCCATTTCTTTCCCATCTCCAGAGTTTGCAATTTTATTTTTATTGTCTTATTTACTTTTTTGTCAGCACCTGATCCTGAAATTGAAGTATAAGTGAAAAATTGGTAGAGTAGATGAAATGAACACAGGTACACATATTATCTCAAATTCAGTTAAGCATGATGACATTTCTGCAGCCTTTTAAAGTACGAAATTGAGAAGGTGAAAATAAATTTACATTATCTGTGGATGTATTTAAAGAAGACACCAGATTTTTAATTACATTTTGTTCAGCTCTTTTCTCTTTTCCCTTTATAACATAATACAGAGGCAAATCTGAGAATCTGCCGTGAGAAGAATCTTTAGCTGTTGCAGTATCTTCCCAGTTATGGCAACTATCATTGCCATCATGTCTCCTGAATCCCTTCCTCATCACCTGTTACCATGCTGACCACCTACTGCTGTTCTGTTGGATTCTGAGCCAGTCACAGGGAGTAGGGTCAGCTGGAGCATCCATTGGTTAGTTCTCTCTAGGGAGCTTGTCCTGGGAGGTGCCTAGGTCTATCCATAGGAGAGTGGTCATGAAAGGGATGGATGGCAACATTACACTGAGAAGCCTTATAACCAGGTGCTATCTCTACATTTCCTCACATTTTTTCCTGAGACAGCCTGACATGGAGCAAAGAGATGTGGTTAATTACCACCCTTAAAACACCAAAAGTACAAAAAATAAAATAAAATATGTGTGATGGAAAAGCATTATGAAGGAAAAAGAACAGGGAAAAAAAATAGAAAGTGACTTGGTTTGGAAAGGCTTCTTTAGCAGGGATTGTCAGGAGAAGTCTTCTTAAAGAGGAGACACGTGGGTGGAATCCAAGTGATAGAGGAAATGCCACCTGACAACAGTCAGAATGGGCTGCTTCCTGCTCCGGGAGCAGTAAAGGCGAAGTCTTGGGCAGGAAGGACCTGGTGAGCAATGGGAACAGGAAAAAGTCTAATGTACACGGGGCATAGTGACCAAGAGGTTGGAATTATTCTCTGTTATCCAGTTTATAGTTTTGAAAATTTAGAATTGATATAAAATTTGAAAGCTGGAGATGAACTGAAATTTTGGCTAATTTTATAATATATAATACCATTGTTGTTGTTTAGTCATTAAGTCGTGTCTGACTCTTTGCTACCCCATGGGCTGCAGCATGCTAGGCTTTTCTGTCCCTCACTGTCTCTCAGAGTTTGCCCAAGCTGAAGTCCATTGAATTGGTGATGCTATCCAACAATCTCATCCTCCTGTGCAATCATTAATAAGGATAATACAGATCTTTATAGGGTGGAATGAAAATTTTTTCACATAAAGTCAAAGGATGTATATGTAATATGATTCTATTTACATTTTAAAATACTAACATATCTATACACAATATGTCTCTAGGGCCTCTTTAGATAAAAGTAGGAAGATTCTTTAAGTTATACATGAAATCTCAATTGATAACTCTAGAGTAGCATTATGGAGGGTCTTACATTTTGTATGTTTTGTTTGCTTACTGTAGTTTTGTTTGGTTTTTAATAAACCTGTGAATTATCACAGGATAAAATAAGCCATTCATTTTTAAAAATCTAGTATTGAATATAAGTTGGCTGGTTCTACAAAGACCTACAAGAGCTTCTAGAACTAACACCAAAAACCTGTCCTTTTCATCATAGGGGGTTAGAATACAAAAGTTGGAAATCAGGGGGTACCTGGAGTAATAGGCAAGTTTGATGTTGGAGTACAAAATGAAGCAGGTCAAAGGATAGCAGAGTTTTGCCAAGAGAACACACTGATCATAGTAAACACCCTTTTCCAACAACTCAAGAGAGGACTCTACACATGGATATCACCAAAAAGTCAATACTACAATCAGATTGTTTATATTATTTGCAGCCTAAGATGGAGAAGCTCTATACAGTCAGCAAAAATAAGAACTGGAGCTGATTGAGGCTCAGATCATGAGCTCCTTATTGCAAAATTCAGGTTTAAATTAAAGAAGGTAGGGAAAACCACTAGGCCATTCAGGTATGACTTAAATAAAATCCCTTAAGATTATACAATGGAGGTGATGAATAGATTCAAGGGATTAGATCTGGTAGACAGAGTGCCTGAATATCTATGGACAGAAGTTTGTAACATTGTACAGGAGGCAGTAACCAAACCATCCCAAAGAAAAATAAATGCAAGAAGGCAACATGGTTGTCTGATGAGGCTTTACAAATAGTCGAGAAAAGAAGAGAAGTGAAAAGCAAGGGAGAAAGGGAAAGATCTACTCAACTGAATGCATGGTTCTAGAGCACAGCAAAGAGAGATGTGAAGACCTTCTTAAATGGACAGTGCAAAAAATAGAAGAAAACAATAGAATGGGAATGGCTAGAGATCTCTTCAAGAAAATTGGAGATATCAAGGGACCATTTCATTCAAGGATGGGCAAGATAAAGGACAGAAACAGTAAAGACTTATCAGAACAGAAGATATTAAGAAGAGGTGACAAGAATACACAAAAGACCTATACAAAAAAGGTCTTAATGACCTGGAAAACCATGATGGTGTAGTCACTAACCTAGAGCCAGACATCCTGGAATGTGAAGTAAAGTGGGCCTTAAGAAGCATCGCTACGAACAAAGTAATGGAATTCCAGTTGAACTATTTCAAATCCTAAAAGGTGACACTGTTAAAATACTTCACTCAATAGGTCAGCAAATTTGGAAAATTCAGCAGTGGCCACAGGACTGGAAGAGGTCAGATTTCATTCCATTTCCAAAGAAGGGCAAAGCCAGAGAATGTTCCCATTACCACACAACTGCACTCATTTCACATGCTAGCAAGGTTATGCTAAAAATCCTTCAAGCTAGGCTTCAGCAACATGTGAACTGAGAACATCCAGATATACAAGCTGGATTTAGAAAAAGCAGGGGAACCAGAGATCAAATTGCCAACATTTGCTGGATCATAGAAAAAGCAAGGGGATTTCACAAAAACATCTACTTCTGCTTCATTGACTACGCTAAGCCTTTGACTATCTGGATCACAACAAACTGTGGAAAGTTCTTAAAGAGATAGGAATACCAGAGCATCTTACCTGTCTCCTGATTAATCTGTATGAGGGTCGAGAAGCAACAGTTAGAACTTTACAGGGATCAACTGACTGGTTCAAAATTGGGAAAGGAGTATGCCAAGGTTATATATTGTTGCCTTGCTTATTTAACATCTATGAGGAATACATCAGGTGAAATGCCAGGCTGGATGACTCACAAGGTGGAATCAAGATTGCTGGGAGACATATCAACAAGCTCAGATATGCAGATGATATCACTCTAAAGGCAGAAAATGAAGAGAAACTAAAAAGCCGCTTTATGAGGGTAAAAGAAGAGAGTGAAGAAGCTGGCTTAAAGCTCAACATTCAAAAAACTAAGATCAAGACACCTGGTCTCATCACTTTATGGCAAGTAGAAGGGGGAAAAGTGGAAGCAGTGACAGAGTTTCTCTTCTTGAGCTCCGAAATCTCTGCAGATGGTGACTGCAGCCATGAATTTAAAAGACAATTGATTGCTCCTTGGAAGGAAAGCTATGACAAATCTAGACAGCATATTAAAAAGCAAATTTATCAGTTTGTCAATATAGATCAGTATAGTCAAAGCTATGACTTTTCCTGTAGTCAGGTATGAACGTGAGAGCTGGATCAAAAAGAAGGCTGAGTACTGAAGAATGGATGCTTTTGAACTGTGGTGCTGGAAAAGACTCGAGAGTCCCTTGGACAGCAAGGGGATCAAACTCGTCCATCCTAAAGGAAATCAACCCTGAACAGTCTTTGGAAGAACTGATGCTGAAGCTGAAGCTCTAACACTTTGGCCACCTGATGTGGAGAACTTACTCATTGGAAAAGATCCTGATGCTGAGAAAGATTGAAGGAAAAAGGAGAAGAAGGCAGCAGAGGATGAGATAGCTAGATAGCATCACTGACACAATGGACATGAATTTGAGCAAACTCTGGAAGATAGTGAGCACAGAGGAGCCTGGCGTGGGGTAGTCCATGGGGTCACAAAGAGTCAGATGTGACTTAGTGACTGAACAACAATAACAATATAAGGCTAAAGCTGTACATTATTCCTACTGAAAACAACTATACCAAGTATAACCAAACTCTCAAGTTTGAATAGATTTTCTTAGAGTTTCAAATGGGAGGAATAGTCATGACATTATGATATAGTTAACTTTTGGCAGGAAAGGGGAAATTGAAAACCTCAATCTCATTTTTCTTTGGAGATTTTTTTTCCTGAATTGCCCAAATAGGGAAAAAGATCAAGATCTTCCATTGAATAAAAGGAGAAATAAAT